TTTACTATATTATGCCTTTTATTGTACTGTATCTTTTAGTTTCATTTTATAACCTATTGTATAATCATAAGAATACATGGTACTCGAGTCAATCATGAGTATTCAGTATGATATGTAGTGTAACTGCCTGGAACTGTATGGCACATTAGTACTCTGTATGCAGCATAACTGCCTGTAAGTTATGGCACATTTAATGCCCAATATACAAGATTAACCACCAATAACAATATAACACATTCAATGCCCAATATGCAGTATAAACTGTCAGTAACAGTATGACACATTTAGTGTCCAGTATGTAGTATAAACTGTCAGTAACATATACTATAGTAGCAGATCGCACATAAAGTGCCAATATTAGTGAGCGTACATGTATTATAGAACACATCACTGTACCAGTAATCAAATATGGTACCTCAAAATGTCAAAACATCATGAGACTCATAATGCACATATAGTGCCAATATCAATAATTAATAATCACTTCACCTTGCGTACCACTATCTCTCAAGTCTTATACACTAGGCTTATATAAATCTTATATTTTCTTTCATATAAAACATTTATAGGAAAATTATCAAATTCATATATTATTTTAATCATATTTAATACTTTAACTAAATTCTAATTTGACCTTCAGGTTCCTCTAATAATCGTTTATTACCATAATTCACTCAAACTTCATACATCATCTTATACTCAATTTCTATTTTAATCCATAATTTCTCCACATTTACAATTTAGCTTTTTAACTTATACTTATTTTCAAATCAGTCCCCATTTAATATTTTAACTTCATAATCACCATTTTACTATTTACTGCTCAAGTATTTTAATACTCATATTTATTCAGTAACTTTTAAACTTACCATTTTACATTTTGGTTCCCTAACTTTAATAAATTACAAACTAACCCAAAATCAACATTCCAACAACATATTCAAATTTTACTCATCAACTTTATACCAAATTCCATTTCAGACCACAACTTATACAAATTTATAATTTAATCCTCAATCTTTACAAATTTTACAAATAAACTTCAAATCAAACTTTGATTAATATAACCAAAATTCCAAGCATTTAATTAAAACATATTACCTCAACAATTACACAATTTTCACTTAAGTCCTTATCTTTTTATATTTATGATTTGGTCCTCAAACTTTACCAACTTTCCAAATTAGTCTAATTTCAGATTCTAGCACTAAATTAAACATTTTAATAATAAATTCAGCATAGTCCAACATCTATTGAAGAATTTCACATTAATTCCTATATTTCTTAATTTATACGACTAGTTCCCTATACTTTCACAATTTTCCTAATTATTCCAAATCACATTCAAAGCATGTAAAATCACTCATACATCATTTCTAACCCTTGTATAAGTTTTCCACAAATTTCTTTTTCCTAGAATGAGTTAAATTATCATAAAATGCATAATTTACCTCAACTTCATATTTTGGTAGTTTGCACTTCCCTCAAAGAAATATTATTCTATATTTCGTTTGTACCCTTAGAAACTATACTTGAATACAAATCTAACCATATAAGGAAATTATTCTATTTCAAATTGTACAATTTATGGAGAATTTTCTAATCCCACTTACAAAATCTGTTTTGAGCAGAATCTGCTGCCCAAATTTCTAACCTATCATCGGTTAAAAATTCATATATTTTTGTATACACTTCTAAATCAATAGTTGTTTGTTTTAAACAAAACTATACTGATTTATGAATCCAATGGTATAAAAATAATCTTCTAATCATTCTTGTATAATTTATGTTGATTTTATAAACTTACTGTTTAGATTACCAATTTAGGCAGATTTCACTAATTTACATCCTTAGCTTATTCATTAATTCTATTAGCTTATCAAATGAACACATATGCACGAGTTCAAGTTCCTATCATCATTTCCACGCAATCTCAATCAATTCCATATAAAAACCAATCAACATTCAATCTTTTCCATAAACTCTAACCTTAACCAAATTCATCTTTAAACATTTTCAATTGATTTTAATCATTAACACAAAATCCTTATCATTAAATTATCAAAATCCAACTTGTTCATTATTCACTCTAATAATCAAATCATTGATTCAAGCATGAAAATCATGTAATATTCATATCAAATAATAGAAGATTTAATATAGATAATTTTTCTATTTCATGACTTATTGCAAAAATCAAAGGAAAATGGTTAAAATTGAAGGAAATGAAGAAAACTTACCTTTCCCTTTTTCTTTCATGGTTCACGACATATATAGGAAAAATAAGGCAATTTCTAGAAAAATCTCCCAAAATATCTATGCACACTTATATAAACTCTAATTAAAATTAATTTAAAATTAATTTTACTCCAAAAGTCATTTCAACCCTTAATGATAAGATATCTACCATTTTCAATTCTTTCATCACCATACATCATCATATCAATATAAAAACCATATTTATTTATTTTCACCCTTGCATTTCACTTTTCCAAAATTTTAATTTAGTTACATAATTTTCACTATTTAACTTTAACATGGAAAATTCACTTAATTCTATTATTCTTGTTGAATTCTACTGATTAAAAATATAAATATAATATTTCTAATCCTAGACTATCATCCTTCAAAATTTTTTAAACTTTTATTCGATCCGATTATCTAAATACTTTACTGAACTTTAATGCTTAATAGCTCTTTACACTAATTCCGGATAGAAATATGAATTACATTGAGAATATATTCTTAAAGATGAACTATTTATTTATAGAATAAAATTTCTTTTTGGGAAAATTACCTCTTTGGTCCTTGAACTTTTCTAAGCTTTTACTTTGACCATTAAACTTTCAAAAATTACATTTTAGTCACTAATCAAATTTTTTGGGTATTACTATTCCCGAGCCGATTCGAGGGTGTTACAAGGATATTTTCTTAGAATCATTTACACAAGAAACTAGCAACTTGAGATCATATAAATATTATATAAAGAAAAGGTTAAAACTCAATCAAAATACTAGAACGGAGATAGATACAAATATATATAACAACATCGACAAACGAACACAAAAAAGATCAAAACTACTGAAAGACTACTAACAAACTGCACATCAAAGTCAAGCGATATGAGAAAACTATCCACGGACGTAACCATATATCTCAATCCAATCCGAGAGTCCAAAGTAGGGAAGATCATGAGGATAACAAATAAACTTCATCTTGATCAGTCGAGACGTCGTCAAATACAAACCTAATAAAAAGATAAAATGAAAAGAACAATCAAACGACAGAAAACGTACCAAAAGATACAAGAAAACGTACCATAAAAGTGGAATTATTAAAAACTAAAAATCGAATTATAAACAAAAATTTAATATAAAAAATAAACAAAAGAACAAGAAGGGTTGACGATTGACAACCAATACTAAAACTAATACTTTCGCTGCCAAAGTAAAAATCAAATGAATCTATAACTAAAAACTAAATATCGAATTATAAACAAAAATGTAATATAAAAAATAAACAAAAGAACAAGAAGTGTTGACGATTGACTACCAATACTAAAACTAATACTTTTGCTGCCAAAGTAAAAATCAAATGAATCTATTTATCCTTCATTCTTTATTTGAATAAATTCATACACTATACGTTTGATATCGTGTAAATCATATCACATATAATATTATTTAAATAATCATCAATATGATTATTTATATAATTAATCTTTTATTATTATTATTATTATTGTTGTTGTTATTATTATTGGTAAAATACACAGATGGTCCTCGACTATGGAGTACTTCTTTATTAAATCCCTCGACTATTAAAAGTTATAAAATGATCATCCAACTAAAATGTGTTGCTTTATTGAGTCTCTCGACTATTAAAAGTTACAAAATGGTTACCTGACTATTCATTATATTCCAAACTCGTTCTTTTTTGTTAAAACAATTGTCGGTATTCTTAGTTAAATGTTAACTTATTGATTGTGATATGATAAAATTTGATCTCAGAATCTCAAACAACTATAATATCTCAATCATCATGTTAACGTCCAACTTAGACAACTGCAAATTTTTTAACGGAAATGACGAGTTTGGAATATAATGAATAGTCGAGTGATCATTATGTATCTTTTAATAGTCGCAAATTAACAAAGCAACATACTATAATTAGAGGACCATTTTGTAATTTTTAATAGTCAAAAGACTTAATAAAATATTACACTATGGTTGAGGAACCATTTGTGTACTTTATCATATTATTATTAACATTTTTTTAATTTTTGTATAAATCTGAGATGTATAGACGACAATATTTTTAAAGAGTCAAACATTTGGCAATGAGTTCATGCTTCTAGTATATCCAATGCTCGAACCTAAAACCTTAAACAATATTAACGAGTCCTTTAACTAATGAGATGGTTTGTTCGTATTTTCTTCTTTAAATTTTTAAATATGTTGTTTTTGAAGTCACATTGTCAAATTAAGTTTATATTTCTATTTTGAGGATCATCTAAGGTTAAAATTATCATAATGACACATTATCAAAAGAATAGAAGAACTATCAAATTAAAGACTAATATAAAAAATAAGAAGATAAAAGTTATTAAGTTAATGGTAAAAATTGTTTTATCCTTGATACAACAAAAAGTGGCAATTTGGAAGACAACATATATACTTCTGTCTTAAAATCTAGGATACCTCCGGAAAGACCAAAACACCCGCTTATTTAATTAGTCTAGTGGGAATAAAATATTAGGTTCTTTAAATAATATTAAGGTTTGAATATTTACGTTTGCGAATAGAGTAAATTAGATTAGAATGATCATCATTATTTTTATAATATTCGATCTAAATTAATCGATTAATAAATCAGATATCATTAATTAATTAAAAAAAGAGCAAGACTGATCCGTCCATTCGTTGCAACATAAACAACAAATAAATAAAATGCAAAAATTTTCTTATACTCCAAACAAGACCCTTACTAGCCCCCACTAGGAAAAATGGAGGAAAACGGCAACAGAGGCGACGCCAAACGCTGTCTAGCAATCGCCGAGAAGCTTCTTCGAGGCCGTCATTTGAAAGCCTCAAGAGAAGCCGCTGTCATCGCCCAACAAAACGATCCGCTCCTGGAAGGGCCAGATCAGATCCTAGCCGTCATCAACGTACTTATCGCCGCCGCAAAAAGAATAAACGAGCACCGCGATTGGTACTCCATCTTGCAAGTCGATTGCCCTTCCCAAGACAAAGATCTCATCAATAAACAGTATCATCGCCTAGCTCTCCTTCTTGACCCCGAAACGAATGATTTCCCTTTCGCCGATAATGCGTTCAAGCTCGTAACCGATGCATGGTCCATTTTATCTAACACCTCCAAAAAATCTCTTTACGACAAAGACTTGGACTCTTGTACGAGGACTAATTCATGCATTGCCGGCGACCGTTCGAATAAAGCCGGGGAATCGACGGTCACGAGAGGAGAGCAAAATCAGGAGCTTAAGAAAAAACGCATGCCGAATTCGGAGCCGCGTAATGAGAATCAAAGGCCTAGAATGTCGACGTTTTGGACAGCGTGTCCGTACTGTTACAGGTTGTTTGAATATCCTAGGATTTACCAAGGTTGTTGTTTAAGGTGCCAGAATTGCGACAGGGCTTTCCATGGTGTTCTGATTCCGACTCTGCCGCCAATGATTCCGGAAAAAGAAGCTTATTACTGTAACTGGGCGTTTTTTCCGTTAATATCTGGTGATCAAGAGGATCGAATGGAAGCTCCTCCTGGGTTTCCCGTAAAGCGGCGAGAGAGTGAAAGAAAAGGGGGTACTGTGGCTTCGCCGCCGCAGGAAGCTGCTCCCAAGACCACCTCAAAAAAGGCGTTTTCTCCGTCCGGTGGTCAAGAGAGTCGAATAAAACCTCCTCCTGGATTTCCAGTAAAGAGGCGAGAGAGTGAAAGAGATGGAGGTGCTGTGGCTACGCCGCCTCAGGCAGCTGCCCCCAGGACTACCACGGATAAGGCATCCAAAGGGAGAGACAATGCTGCGGCGAGTTCGGGTAGGAATCCACCCGATTTTGCCCCTAGGAAGAAAGGGAGGCCGATGTGAGATTTCCTAGGTAATGGATTATGGGGTTTTTTTGGTGTTGGTTTATAGCAAGCTGACCATAATGCAGGAGTTTTTCCATCATCTGGGATGGATTTTAATGGACGGATAATGTCGAGGCTGAAACTCGGCTAATTCAGGGAGAATGCATAGGTATTGTAGTAGTTGCTGCTAACTGTTTTGTTTGTAGATATTAGGTTGTTAGCGCAATAGTTGATTGTAAAATTATGATATATATGCAATGTCGGGTCGGCAAGTTCTTGCACCATTGATTTTGAGATATTTTGACTTGTTTGCGTTTGATTGAATTGGTGCATCTTCTTGTGGGAAAATATGGTTAAAAGCCATCAATGTTGTAGGTAACTTTTTCTGATTTGCGAATCGAAACATCGCTTCATTCCTTGTTTCATGGCTGATGCATCTTTCTGTGATTCAAATGACAAACTGCAAATGAAATTCCATGCTCTTTCCAGTCTAATACTCCTTAATGCAGTGTGTCTTGATGAACTGTGCCATGGATCTACACTCTAGAGAACTAATAGTAATTGATCCAAAGGCGCTTAGTCCGGAAAATCCGATGGCGACCGCTGTACACGGGATTGGATTGCAAGGAGCTGATCCAATGTACATGAGATTGGCTAAAACTTCTAAGCTCTAGTATTCGGAGAACAAAATCGACAGCAACGACTATGTCATTGTGTGCGGTATCTCTGGTATGTTAGATCTGTTGGACAACCCTACGTTTCGGAAATCCTGCATCATCATTCCTCGTTTAAATTCTGTGAATCAGATTATTATCTGCATTCAGATTAAATACAACTTATAAATATATTGGTTGCATAACAAAACAAATATTAAATTTTATATGCAAAATATTTTTAAAAGAATTTTCAATCATGTTGAAAATAGAAGAATATACGCAGATTTTCATAATTGATTAGACATCTAATTTTAGTCTTTAGTATCTATTTATATATATTGTTATATGATTATAAAGGAAATCATAAATATACTATTATATGATTATAAAGGAAATTTGATTAGTAGAAATCTACTCAAAGTAATATTTTCTTATTTTCAATTAATTTCTTTTTTCAATAATCTCTTAATTTTATATTTTCATTAATTTATTATGTATAAACTCATATGATATTTATTTTATTTTTTATGCATAAACTAATATTTACAAGGTAATACATGTTTAGAATATTTTCTTACAAGAATAAAGACATTGTAAATTAGAATAACAAATTCTATTTTTATTTTAATGTAAATTTTGATTGATGTCGTTACATATAAGTCTATTTTAATTAATTTGGTGATATACATAAATCAATATGAACTTATACAAAAATTTCACAATTTAAGTTAATTTTAACATGCTTTTATATTCATTATTTTATTTTAAAAATAATATAATGATTTAATTAAATTATTGAATTTAATTAGTACTTTTATAATTTGTATTTTAATATAAATATATATTTTTTAGTTGAAGTAAATAATACATCTAAAAAATATTTAAAAATTAACTATAAATTTAAAATGACCTTTATAACATATCATTATGAATTTATGAACGAAAATATAAAAAATTAATGTTTAATGTGATTTAGTTTTCTAACTTTTACGTGTTGGAAATTATTTTTTTTTTTGAAAGATTACGTGTTGGAAATTAGATTGCCGCTAAACGATGCATTTAATTGATTGAAAAATAATAAAATAAATATGCAAAGAATCAATTAACTATGTCGCGGTATTAATCATTATCTTAGAAATGAATTCACCTCGATATGTGTAATTACTACAATAGGCAGTCATTCCTCGAGGTTAACATGTTCTCTATGAGGATTCCTACACCCGAAAATCATAGTGAACTAACAATAATACTGCTCTTCTCTTAGAATCGGAAGTTTTTTCTCATAAAAACTTTGAGAAAAAATAATGTTTTTAAGCTAAATGAGATGCTTGGGATGATCTAAAAAGTTGAAAATGAATGGCTATTTATAAGATAAAAATGGGGTTATTAATGTCATTTAACCAAAATCAGTAATAAATTTTGATTTGATTTTCGTAAAAATCGTTGATTTATTTGTGTAATTAATCTGCTACAACTGGATAAACTTGTCCTCAAACCTGTACAGATTCATTCATAAAATATAGTTGTTACAATAGCTATTAATTAGAAGGTAAATTACTAGAATTAAGGGGTTGTAACAGCTGTAATAAATAACCGTACAAGATTGTAAAAACATCCATGTATATCCTTATCAGAAACAGTCAAACAACTCTCCAAAAAGCATGTTGTCAATTACAACAAATAAATCAACGATAACTACATCTTTTCATTTCAAAATTATTTTTCTAGTCTATAAAATTCAAATAATAAATATTTTCCCAAAAGTATTTTCCTTCCAAATGTGAGATATGTGCTCATATATGCATTACTAATATTCTCTCACTAATGTGAAATAATTCTTTTGTAAACCAAAAAGATAATTTCAAATTTAAAACGTGAGAAAAGCAATAGCGAGATTAGTTGCTTAGGCACTAGTGAACGTATATGAAACTAATATATAGTAATTATGAGTAATTATTCTCTTAGATAAGTGCATGAATCTTAAAATTTCTAAGCTTATGGTGAACTCATAACACACAATTAACACCTTCATCCACCTAAGTACGCGATGTGTCTAAAAAGTGTGTGCATGTATATATGTAGCCCTCTTTTAGTAAGTGTACTAAAAAAAGGGCCCAACGTTTTTCATAGAAGTTGACTAATCCTTCACACTTATATATAACCCTCTTTCAGTAAGTGTACTAAAAAATGGGTCAACGTTTTTCATAGAATGTGGCTAATCCTTCTTACTTCGTAGGTTATTTCATCAAGTTTATCTCAACGTAAACAACTCGAAAACAAACTACGAAATAATTAAGATCTTTTACAACAAGTTAACCTCACAATAGGTATGTTGAATTTCTTCAAGTTCATTTTTATATGAATCAACCAAAATCTGGGATATGAAATCATTACGAATAAATATTTAACCTCATTAATCAGTGAATTAAATATGTTATTCTTACTAGGAACACTCAAACTCTTGGGTTTGAATTCATTAAGAGTTTTAATAAAACTCATCCTCTCTAGTGGTAAGTTCATCTAGTCTTCCATGATTAGGACTACCCACTCAACATTGGTTTAACTTATTAAGTGTTGTTGAAAACATTTTGATATTTCGATATAACAAACTAAGTTTAAATGAATTTTAAGATTTTACAAATGATTTTCTAAAGTATATTCGATTCAATTAATCGAATATCAAATTATTACTCCAAGTCTTTCAAGATCATTTCAAACCTTACTAAATGTGTAAAATTGTGTTTTATACTTAAACTATTTTTGAAACAATTTTCACAAAGTATTTTGAACCAAAATCAAGCCTAAAATCAAATTTTCAAAGTGATGCACCGATGCACCAATCCATGCATCGATGCACCATGGAATTAATTGAACATCGAATGCATTTTATGCATCGATGCACATACCATGCATCAATGCACTTAGTGCATTTGGTGCATCAATGCACAAGACCATGCATCGATGCACTCAGGCTATTTCAAAACATCGAATGCATTTTATGCATCGATGCACTCTTAGTACAACGATGCACTGAGAGTCCAACGGTCAAAATATTTGAATTTTACACTTGATGTACCGATGCACCTAGGGTATGCATCGATGCATGAGACGCTCCCAACCACTAATATTAATTGTTTTCACACTTAAACGGCTCTATTAACTCCACTAAGCATCCCCAACGTTCATAATAATTTGAAGGTGTATTTAAACAAGCTTAGAAGCCATTGATCGAAAATAAGAAACAACAATCAACTAGAATCAATAGAGAATCAAAGAGAAAGCATCAAACCTCAAGTTTGAGCATTTCAAGCCTATTTTTCATTGAATATTCATTTTACTTTCAAGAACACTACTTGTACTCAATTGTATTCATTTTATAGTGTTCTTTTGTTTGTTCTAGAATTGTGCAAACATTCTACCTTGTGAGGATTTCCTTGTAAGTTTGTAAATTTGTAATCTTCTCTTTGTGAAAGAGTGTTCTCAAGAATTGGGGTATATTCTTGAGGGAGTTGTAAGGTTATCTCTTTGGCCTCAAAAGAAAGAACAAATTAGTGAATTTGTTGGAAAATCCTTAGTGTGGATAGCTAAAGTAGTGGATGTAGACTTTGATTGAGAAAGTCGAACCACTCTAAATCGTTGTGTAATTACTTTCAATTTTCTGCAAAAGCTTCCACCAAAATTTTAATTGCCAATTCACCCCCTCTTGGCCGCTTCCATCGATCGATTAACTCAACAATTGGTATCAGAGCCTAACTCATTTGAAGGTTTAATCGCCTCTTGAGTTGATTCGGGAAGAGTTGCATCGATAATCAAATTCATCAATGGCCTACACTTCAAACGTCAACTCTGGTCTCGATTCGATGCCTGTCAACAAGCCTCCTTTCTTCAATGGAGCTAACTATGCATATTGGAAGAATATGATGATGTATTCCATTCAAGCCAGTGACATGGGAGCATGGAATGTTGTAGAAGACTGATATATCAAGCCTCTCACTCATCCAAGATTGTGGAGTGAATGAGAGACAAGAATGTTTCAGCTCAACTCCAAAGCCATCCATATCATATTTTGTGCTCTTGGAACAGATGAATATGGAAGAGTTTCATCCTGTACAACCGCCAAAAAAATATGGGATAAATTACAAGTCACTCATGAAGGCACCGACGAGGTAAAAGAATATAAAATTAGTCTTCTAACACATAGCTATGAAAATTTCAGGATGAAACCAAATGAAGATATCAAAGCTATGACGGATAGATTCTCAACGATTGTCAATGGTCTCGAATCATATGGAGAGATCATTCCAAACGAAAAGCTTGTGAGGAAGTTAGTTTACTCACTTCCAAAATCATGGCAATCCAAGAAGACTGCAATCATTTAGGCTAAGAACCTAAAGTCCTTAACTTTTGAAGAGCTAATCGGTTCCCTCCTCACTCATGAAATGATGCTTGAAGATGAGGTGGACCTCGATAAGATTGAAGAGACACCAAAGGAGAATGAGAAGAAGAAAAATATTGGAGTTGCTCTCAAATCCACAAAAGAAGAGAGTGATTCGGATGAAGATGACGATGACAAGGAAATGGCATTGTTTGCCAAACGGTTCAGAAAAATGATGATACCTTACCGAGGAAGAAAATTCAAATGAAATGAAGGCCTCAAAAATGAACCAAAAGAGAAAGACCCGATCATTTGCTATGAATGCAAAAAGTCGAGGCATGTCAAAT